GCTGGCTATGAGAAGGATGCTGCTGTTTTTCAAAAGGATTTAGATCATTTGTTGAGTTGTGCAAATAAATGGTAGATAATTTTGAATTATTTTAAATGCAAATCAATGCATGTTGGTTATCATAATTTGAACAATGAGTATAATTTTGATAACAACCTTAACAGTATTATAGAAGAAAAGGATCTTGGTGTTTTGGTTGATCATCGTTTTTAGCCATGCAAACAATGTGCTGTTGTTAGGGGTAGGGCAAATAGGATTTTTGGTTGTATCTACAGAAATATTGAATACAAGTCTAAATAGTTATAATTTCATTTTATAGATCACTGGTTAGGGCACATATGGAGTATCGTGTTCAGTCTTGGGGTCCTTACATTTAGAAGGACATTGAATTCTCGGAAAGGATTCAAAGGAGAGCTACTAGGATGATACCTGGACTGGAAAGGTTGTCCTAAGAGGACAATCTAAGATTTATGAAATTGTTGTTTCTTGAAAAAAAAGTAGAATTGGAATCTGACTGAAGTGTTTAAGATAGTTAGAGGAATTGATAGGAGGGAAGCTTCATCTTTTTCTTGGTAAGAGAGCAGTAAGAGTAAGGGACACAAATATAAGTTTTGACAGGGTACGAGTCCTCTTCAGCTAAAACAGCTTTTCTTTTCCAAAAGTGTAGTTGGCCTTTGAAGTGGATTGCTTTCAGATGCTGTAGATAGTTAATTTAGGGGAGTTTAACATAAAATAATTTGCACTCATGGTTTCATGAGTAAGGACAGCAAAATTGAACACAATACTCCATTTATGCCATACCAGTGATATATACAATGAAACTATGCCATCATGTCATTTGTAAACACTGTCAAACATTAAACAGTGGAAATATAGTATTAGCAACTTGAAGTCAAGATGATCATTATTATTTTGGATATACCCAGAGCTCAACATTAATTTTTGATATCACTTGCTTAGTCAGGCAAATTCTCACAGGACCTACGTGTCTGAAGCTGATTTGGATCAGAATGAAAAGGAAAGAAATTGTAACAAAATCTTCTTCTACATGAATCACTTACAGTCACATTAATCTGTATTTAAAATCCATAGAACTAAAATAAGGCCATAGTTCTGTTTGCAAATCTGTATCTAAATGTTATTATAATGGAGCTTGCAACATATACATCCAAAGCTCAGATCTTGGAAACTACAGCATCATTCATAACTGGGTAATATTTTAAAAACTAGGCAGTATTTTTATAGCTGAGCAATAAATAAAACAATTGAAATTTCCACAAAAATGACATCTTTCAAATTTAACCAATAAAAATTACAAAAAAAAGAAGTTTCAAATATAAAGAAATAAAAAAAATAAAAACTTGAAAAAGTTTTTTTTTAGCGTGAAAATTCATGAGTGTTGCAACAGAAGAACAAAGCACTTCAATAAAAATCTACTTTGTGATGTAATGCTGTGATGATAGCTCATTTTTAAACTAAAATTTAAATAAAATCTGTTTTCTCATTGATAGTGAACATTATTGAATGTCAAGTATGAGTACATTGTTGTAGAACTGTCAGACAATTCCAGAACAGGCCACAGGCCCAATAACCTTCCGCAGGAACTAGCAGTTATACCTGCCCAGAGGGAGGGTATTTCTGCTAGTCAACATAATGCCCCTACAGCAGTATCAGCTTTTTCATTTAAGGCAGGGTTTGGCTACCTGTGGCTCTTTAACCCTCTCACTGTCTAGCTACTGGAATATGGGTTGCATGCATTGTAGCTCTCAGTGTCTTGTATTTTTACCAAATTTGAAAAAAATGGCTTTTGTTATTGTGTTGCCAACCCCTGATTTAGGATAACAAAACAAAAATATGTGAATAGAAGTTATTATTTTTTTGACATTGTACTGGATGTCATTTACGTGGATAATGATATTATAGAAACAAACCTCATGATTGAATGTGTATAAATAGGCTGTGCTAGCAATATAGCTTTTGTAGTGTACAATGACAAATAAAACTGTAATAAGGATAGAGGTACATTTCTAACAGACTAAAACGAAATGCTGCTACCAACAGGATTGAACAAAGAAAGGAGTTATTAAACTTTAACAACCACAGAAATCCAAAACTAAACTCAAACAATTGGAGTAGAAATTTTATCACTTAAAAAAAAAAACAGTTAGTAAATACATCCTTGGCCAGGACTTGATACAAACATTAATAAACAATACAACATAAACACCAGTGTTATTAATTTCACTAAGAAAGGAATTGGGAAAAAGAATAATAAGAAGAAAAACCCTAATTGTGTAAAAACAACAATAATATTCCAAATTAACCCACTTCGAGATCAATAATATTATTGAGCAACAATCAGCAATAATTGGTTTTAACTATATCTCATTAACTAAATTGTCTAAGGTCAAGCAAGGGTTTTTATTTAGTGGTTAGACCATGAGGTTAAATCTCATGTGAGTAGCTAATTTACCTAATTTTTCACAACATTAATGTCTGTATGTCCCTGCTAAGAAAAGCTTGTGTCCGTTTTGTAATACAGACATACTCATATTCAACATGCCCTAGCTAGAAGGTGAATTAGTGCTTTAATATAACTCCAAATTCATAGTTGAACTAAGCAATAGAAAGGATAATAAATAAATGGTAAACAAAACCGTAATAAAATAAAAGTAGAACTTGCTATCTTACATGTTGAATCTGTATTTTGCTGGTTCAAAATAATATAGTTTGTGCTCGCTTTGGACTTCAATATTGTTGTGTGCAAAATATAGACCAGTTTTATACTCATAATAATCACTACCTCTTAACAATTAAAGCAGTATGTGCTGTTACATTCATGTCCTTTGTACACTAGAGATACACCTGAAGTATTTGCATGCTAACTAAAAATACTTGATTGCTTGGATATAGTTTTGTATATTTTCTTCACCACCACTTGCCTGATCACTTTCATATTGTACATAAGTGTATGTAATGTATGTTAACATACACCTAAAATTAGTCTTACTGGTCAATCTCATGAAGTAATGTTTATTTTCATCAGCAAAAATTCAACAGTTTTAATGGAGTAGCCTTGCTAAAATTTGTAGGGAGAACCTCATGGAACAGTATTAATTATGTTACAGTTAGAAATAAAAAAGTAACTTAGTTTTAAGTAGTTGTACATGAATATTTCTTTCATGTTAAAGGAATGGTAGTTTGAAAATGCCCTTTAAAAAAATCCAAAACAAGCTGAAATAATGAAGACTAGTCTCATGTGAGAATAATCCAGGTTTCGACAAATATTTTCAGATCTAGGAGCCAGCCCATAAACATGGGAGCCAGGTGTGCCTAGTTTCATTAATTTTCGTACTGGGAAATGGGGACTACATTAGTTCCTTGATTATCTGTATTTTTTTTCTTTACCCCAGATTTTCTCAAAATAATTGTGCCATTACAATTCTAGACAAAATTTACATGTTTTGGAGAAATTGTCACTCAGAAATTAATTTTAGTTTCAAAAGTTCGGGTGGTGCATGATATCTGGGCTTTTCACATGCAAGATGTGGCATACGTTCAAATCATAAGACGGCTGGTTCAAGCCTATCCTTGACTTATTTATTTTTAGCTGTTATGACAGGAATACAAAATATTTGTAGCTGGATTAACTTTATTTGATTAGTGATTAAAAACATAGTATACAAAAACACACAAAATACACATTAAGATTTCTTAAAAATTTCACTTAACTTCAGTCATTGTCAGCTGTTCTTTGCTGCATGGCGGGCATCCTTTTACCACAGATGCATGTTTAGGTTGTCTTGAGGTGTCGCCCAGTGACACGTTGTTCTTTTCCCTACAGATAATTAATATCTTCAGTCTGTTTTATGATAGATGTAACCATGTTTTAAAGATTGTTTTGAGCTAGCTGAAACATTAGATAATGTGTCATTTTGTTGACCTTAATTGATGTATGATGTAAACGCACAACAGATGAAACAATGAAAGATACTTCTGCTTTAGCAGAAATATTATACTGTGTCACTTGTTTGATTTTAACTGATATATA